GTTTTACCAACTGCTCCACCTTGCAGCCCCAATTGGATAATGTCATTAGTTACTACGATGCCAAGTACTAGATGGAGTTTAGGATAGAAGTTCTAAGGACATTGCTAAGGAACAGAGACTCATAGGAACAAGCTCACAGCAAGCTCCTGCATAACTACTGTCAGGGATGGACAACAATTCCCTTAAGCAATGGTGCATTTAATTTGTTTTCAACTTTATCTTTACACATAAAATAAACAAGTTTTTCTTGTTTGCAATGTGTGAGAGTGAAAAGGTGTCTCTGTGAAAAGCCGCACTGCGTATTAATGAAGCTGCGCAATATTGTTCTTCGTATTTACACCATTTTCTGTTCAAAATTACTGTGTAATATGATAACACCTTATAAACAGGTTTGTTCAGTATAAAAACTGAAACATAAAACTGAATAAATCAATGATAGTGGTTTCTCAAGAAGGTAAAAGGGAAGATGTCCAACTCTTCAATAATGCAATGATCCACTTTTTTAGAAGTAGCACATTCCCACAATCTTTGCTCCTTAAGGTCAGGATATGCTCACACAAACTGAAGTCAAGTAAGAGAAAGGTTTATGAAGTGTCTTGGCATACTGACCTTGCTGTGTGGAGTGACTGATGGCAGCAGTAGCAGACCGAGCCTCCGCTGGCATTGCGCCTCCACTGCCAGGTACAGGGGCTGCAGTGGCACACAGGTTGATCAGCCCACTGCCTGTGGATGATACTGGGTCTTTGCTGCCAGGTGGCCCACCCCGCCGTCTGGCTGTGCCGGTTGGAATTGGGGGAGTCGGTGTGACGACTTCAGCCGGTGTCCAGTTTAGATTGGTGCCCTCCTTTTCTGCGGGGGAGTCATCATCAGAGTCATCAAACATGCGCTCACTGCGGCGCTCAGGCTTGCGGGGAGAGGTCGGGGAGACAGAGTTCAGCCTCTTGGGTCCTGGTCGTCTGCGGGGGCTGGACTCCTCACCAGATGAGCCACCACTAGACAGCCGGGATCGCCGGGGACTGTAGCTTCCATCTGATTGAAACTGCTGGTCATATGACTCTGCATCACTCTCCTCCTCTTCTTCAGGCTCTATATATGTGAGTCTGGGGTGATAGAGTGTCTCATCCTTCCTGCTTTTGTCTTTAAAAGGTGGAAAGAAGGGACAATTACTGTGTATCCATTTCCTGAATTATTTCTTATCACAGTAATTATTAGCTACTCCAACTGTAATTGGTAACTTTACTAGGTTTAATCACAATGAAGAAACATGAAAACGATCCTTAACTTCAGCCTCGGTTAACTAAAAACTAACTAAAAATGATTTGCTGGAAGGAGGGATTATTTTTTTAGAATGAAAAAGTCACAGATATAGGGGACAGCTTTAAATATCTTCTTTTGTTTGGCCAACAGTCCAAAACCCAAAGATATTCAGTTAAATATAAAATTGTGACAAACGTAACAGATCTCTAACATTTGAGAAGGCAATTACTACTAGTTGATTACAGTTGACTGATAAAGCCGAATGATTTACTGACAATCAACTAATCATACAATCACATCTAGACAGAAATTACATCAGCAAAAGACTAATTGCTACGCAAAGCAAGAAGTGCTACAAATTAATGAATACATCAGTTTGCCATAATGTTACCTTTAACAGAATCTGTTATCCAGTCCAGGGTGACAATCTTGATACTGGGGTGTTTCAGGGCACACTCAAACTTGGCCTGGAGGCAAAAATATATAGCACCAAAAAAAGAAAAAAAGAAAAACACAGTTTAATTTCTATGTTTAATGTGCATCTACAAAGTACTGTCTACATCATGAATCTAAGTAAAGAGCACAGATGGTAAGAAGGAATAATTCAATGAATTCTTTACACTAATGAGCATAGTGAAACTTGTTTAGGCAACATTACAATCAGAGCATGCACTTACCCCTTTTGGTTCCTTAACCACTAAATGGGTGACCTTCTTGTTGAGGTTAAGCTGACATTCTCCTCCATAGAAAGTTATGTAAGCCCACAAAGTGTTGAGATCATCTGGAAGCTGTGTACAGACACACACAGAAATAAATACACACTAATGTGCTTCAGTTTCAGAACAAGTCACAATCTTTCAAAAGTAATGCTATCAAGGCCAGACCCTGGGCCTGATGGTTTGCTAAAGAGGTGCCTATTTCCAAATAATGCAAGATGAGTACAGCAGCATAAAATGTAGCTTGTCTGTTTAGAAACAATTCACATATTTACTGCTGAATAATCTAGTTTAGTAGGCTCACTCTCTGTCACACACACACACACACACACACACACACACACGCGCGCGCACACACACACACGCACACTTACCCTCGGAAGGCAAGCTGTCACTCCAAAGAATATCTGTCCCGATTCTGGGGAGAATCCAGTAACACTGTAGTGTTCATGGTTATAGAAAAGCATCATGCTGTGTACTAGTGAATCTTCTAGAAAAGTCTTTTTTTTTTTAACATTTTTAAATTCTAAACATTAACCTATTATTGACATTTTTTGAAAAACGTGATAGAAAAAGGATACGGTAACAGGTCTCCACATCGGACTGACAGGATCACCCAGGACGGCTGGAAAACATGAGGAGAGTCATGAGCTGAAGCTTGATATTCACATCTTTTTCTCAGTTACACAATGTCAAGGTGCCTTTAAGTCACTAGTATGGCTTGACTGAGAGTGATGTGAATAAGCAATTGAGCAAATGTTTCCTTTCTACACATTAAAGAAAGTTCTGACATATTGGGAAACATGCTTTGTTGGTAGCAATCGATCGTCAGTGTTCACGCAAAGCTAAGCTAAACTGATGGCTGTAGCTTTATATTTACTGCAGTGACATGACAGTGGAAAGTAATGAACAGTCATTCCCTAAAGACGAACTCACCAAGTGAAAACATATCACTGTAGTAAAAGTTTTATGTCTGTGTGATAATTAATTAGTCCTGAATTCAAGATCAGCTTCTGCCCAGTTAAAAGAGAAAATGGTTTAGAAAACAGCTAATTCAGCTATTTATTTTGGAGGGACAAATTAGTATACCTAACATAAAACTGGACCTGGGCTCAGAGTGTGAAGATATTTCAGCATAACCCTTACCTTGACAACAGGCAGGTCAAAAACTTCTCTTGACTCGCCCACCTCAGGGTTGTCTCCATCCTCTGCAATGATGTGAGTGGCCAGAGCATTGTAGGACACTTCTTTACCTTTCCCTGCTTTCAGCAGCTGCACCACCTGGAGGAGTTTCAGTCAAATATTAGTTAAGTCCAAACATCACACTCACAAACACGCCTGTTACATCGAAACTGTGAGTGATAAAGCAAGTGTAAAGTTTATAAAAAAGAATAAAGTAAGCCTGACTGGTCTTGGCCTGAAAGTCTGAAAAATAAAGCAGGCAAACTCAGTATGAGGCAGTATATTTCAAAGTTCTGTGTCAGACAAAAAAAACGATGATGACCATCATAGAATCCTGATAGGTTCTCTCCTACACAAGAATTTTGTTAGTAGAGCTACAACGATGAATCAATTAGTTGTCAACTCTTAAATGAGTTTGTATTGAACTGTATTTTGGTCAACATCATCCTTTCTTTAGCCAAAATATCTCTATATAATTGATACAGCGTTTCCTTTTGCAACCAAATGTCTGTGTTTCTCTGCTGTTCCTCACTCCATTTGCTGTGCAATTTGCTGCATGTCAACAAACTTAGTGTCTCCAAGATTCCTTAATTCTGGGTAAATTATGTTCTATCAGACAGACTTGAGAACCATGTGAGTTTTCTATTTGCATCAAGCAGCAAATACAGCTGTAGTACGATGCGTTTGAGTTAGTTTGCCTAACTTCACATTGCACACTGGGACTATTGTCGCACTGTAATGTCGATGCTGATATTGTGCAGCCCTAAAATGCTTTTTATGCAACCTGTAAATGATATGGTTTAATAAGAACTGAAACATATGTGCCTCTCACAGAAGCCAAACAAAGATTTAGCTCTGATGAAGCTCAAAAAAGTCAGCATTTTCAGTTAAGATGCTCTATGAATAACTGCTGTAGTGTTTGCTTCCATGTTGTCTTTCTATGTGCTCTGAGCAACACCCTCAGACCGGGATGTATCACTTCACAGCCACGCTGCATGTCTGCATTTCATAGTACTAAACTGATATTACGGAATAGGATACTGCAGCTAACACGTTGTCGCTGCTCAACACAAACAAGCTCAAAGAGAGGTGCGACCACGGAGCACTATTTGGCAGGAAGTACAGCTCTGTGCCACAGGTCTCCAGCACCAACGAATGAAACAGCGGTGGCACATGCGCAGTAATAAGCGCCCAATTGAGCAAGATGTTGGCAGTCACAGGTTGATGTAAAATACCACAAGGTAGTCCTGTGCAGTGTTTCACCACGAATAAGATCAGCGATATACCGAGGCCGATAAGCTACACCGGCGTACATAAAGCATGCTACCAAATGCCAGTTTTAGCAGCAGCTTTACAACCCTCCGGACAGATAAACCGCAGGCTAGAAGCTAGCAGCTAGCCTACGAAACTCATAGCAAATGCTAAAAAGCTGTGTGGAAGTCCAGCGCTAACTAGCTTTTGCATTTAATATTCAGTCAGCAAGCATCACAGACATGCTCACGTGGGTTTACACGACAGGACAGGGGGTTAGCTACAACAGTTCAAATGCTATCTGAACAGTAGGGTTACTGATTGTTATGCCAACCAGTTAGCTGGCTGGTTAGCCTCTCCTGCGACACCCCATTTAGACTGAAAGGGTCTAGCAAGTTAGCATGCTACCAACTTAGCTACAAAAAGCTAACGTCCACAGTCTCACCTTTTGGTCAATGTCCCCAACCACGTAGAATTTGACATCTTTAAAAAGTTCATCGGAAACCTTGTTTTCCTCGTCAGACATGATTGTCCATTAATGTCATAGGAATATGTCCGAAGCGCAAGTCAGAAGCTAATAGAGGAGAGTGTGTGAGCTGCTACAGCTGATCTGGAGCGGACAGTATACCGGAGACACTCTAGCGCCAAATCGCTGAGCGCGCCTTGGACTACAGCATTCTGTAAGTACTCAGGGGGTTGACAAAATATTACCAGCTGAGAATTTGTTTATTATGTCGTTTCTAACCCTCTAGTGCGTCGTAGCGCATAATGTCATAATGCGTTTTAAAGTAATTTGATCAAAAATATTAAAATGATAGATTTACAAGAACAAACATTTTTTTAAATATTTTTTCTCTGGCACATATCCCCCCCTCGCCCTGCCGTAGTACAAATGTTGATGTTTTCCTCTGAACGTGGAAGCAGATTATCTGAAGCAGACAGTGAGGTGAGGACATGTCAGCGCTGCATGGCATTTGTAGAGAACAGCACCAAACAATGAAAAAGATCAGTGCCACTGTTGCCATAGACTGCTGTCTGTCAGCGTTTGTAAGTATTAGATCCTACTCTGTTAGAAGCAAATGGTAGCCGGGGACATGTAACTGTCGTAAGATACGGATAATATATGACTAAGTTAAGAAACAGCAACTAATGCAAAAAGGTTTATTTCACTTTTGTGTACTTCTGACAATAATACAGTTGTTTAATCACTACATACAGTAGACGACTGAAGTGAGTACACCCCCGTGCAACATTACTTAGATGTTAAATGATTCAGATTTGTATCACCTTACAGTAATTGCATTGCTTGACTGAACGGTAGGGTAACTGTTGTGAAAAAATAAAAACTAATAGTGTAAATTCACTGTGTTAAAATACAGGTTGCACAGAAGAAATTCAATGCAACAAAAGTCAGTAGAGCATTCACTACTGAGATTTATTTTATTTTTTCAACTAAACTCTTTCCAATTCCATCTTCGTGGAGTCTATCAATCACATGTTTCATTGCCTCCTGTGGAAACCATATTGCAGACATAAATAGACAAAGCAGATAAGCCCCCAGCTGAGAGAGTTCTGGTGTTCACGGGTCATTTTACAAACATGTTCACACGATGAGGCTAATTTGAAGTCACAGGTGCATTTAGTTTTGCTTCAATAGTCACATGTTTTTTTTTTTAACTTGTGTGATAATGATCAGAGGTGTATTTATTTTTGTTACATTGAGTTTCTACGTTGAGGCCTGTACTTTTAGTATAGTCTTCCTACAGTAATTTTAGTTTATTGTTCATAAGAGGAAATACTGTACATGTGAACTTAGAAATAATGCAGTTATTGAGAGGTGACACAAATTTCTCACATCATTTGATGTTTAAGTGATATTGCATAGGTATGCACTCACTTCTGTTGGATACTGTAGAAGAAACGTGACTGGTTTGAGCAATGTGAATCTAAAATTTTGCTTTTGGCACACTGACGAATGCAGTGATCTAGAAATTGACTACAAGTGTACAGGAGAAAAGGAGGGAGGCAGGTCTGTTATAGGACATACTATATACTACCTGCAGATCGGAGTGTATAAATGGGTCAACAATACATTTTTATACACTGTATCTTTGTTTTTTGTTTTTTTAAATGTTTGAGGACGATGGAAGGGCTTTTAACAGTTTTTGGACAACAATGGAGCTGTATGGTACAGAGAACAAAGAAATGTTGAGTTCTGACACCCACACAGTTTGCAAAGACATTAATTGTTGATTTGAAAGTACTTGTGTCAGTGTTATGTTTTGTTGCTGTGTCATTTTGCGAATTTGTGTGTTCTCTACCAGCAAGTCAAGAAAATTGTATGATTGAGTACAGTGTTCAGTAAAGATCATGCCAATCACAGGTGGGGACGGATATGTCAATGATTTGGATCGGGTTTCTGTCACATCCTGTCACAGCCACCACCTGACAGCTTCTGCTTTCGCTGAGGGATGTGTAATTCTGATTTTCTAAGATGTCATTTCTCCTGCCTTTCATTCCTCCAGTAGTTAATTACTCCATTCATTAGCAGGTGACGAGACAACCGCCAAGCACATACACACAGGTAGGTCTGTATGCCTGCAGACACACATATTGCACGGTGAATCATGGATGCGTCACTGCTAAGAGACCTTGACAAACTGAGCTGCAACCAATTGAGAGCAGTAATTGGGGGAGCTTTCAGACAGCTACATTAATGATGTAGATGGTCGCCTTTGACCTTGTTGCTATGAAATGTAGAAATTACTTTCGACACACCACCTTCATTATGCAGCAGGTTGGGTTTGGTCCTTCTTACCTTCAACCTTTGACCCTACCCCTACCCTACTCTGAGCAAATTGAGACACAGTCATAAGAGCAGTGATTGGATGAGCCATTTGACAGCTACATTAATATTCAAGCTGATCACCTGATGACCATACATCCATTAGATTTAGACATCTTTCTTTAGGCATGGATCTGACAAGATGTAGCACATTGATTAAGGAGCATTTACCCATGTGGTGTTTTCTTTTACAGGTATGAGAGTTGTGTCTTCATAAGCAGGTTTGATGACTTTTCCAGTCTGATCATAGTATTTCTGTTCATCTGGATGAACTGTTTGACTGCAATGTGGGTCGGTGGTTAGCACTGTTGCCTCGCAGCAAGAAGGTCACCAGTTTGCATCCCGGTGGGGACACCGGGATCTTTCTGCGTGGAGTTTGCATGTTCTCCCCGTGCAGCGTGGGTTCTCTCCAGGTTCTCCAACTTCTTCCCACACAGTCCAAAAACATGTTGAGGTTAATTGGTGATTCTAAATTGTCCGTAGGTGTGAATGTGAGTGTGCTTGGTTGTCTGTCTCTAAGTGTAGCCCTGTGATAGACTGGCGACCTGTCCAGGGTGTCCCCTGCCTTCACCCGAAGTCAGCTGGGATAGCCTCCAGCCCCCCTGTGAATCTGGTGAGGATTAAGCGGTGTGTAGATAATGGATGGATGGATGAACTGTTTAGATTTTTAGTAGAAAAAAAAGTATCCCATGGCAATGATAATGACAGCATGCTTGATACTGCGTTCATGTGAAAGTTTATGTACATGGAATATGATACCAAATCCATACAGTCAATAATAAGAGTCAAAGTTGCCATTTAAATTGTTGCCAGTGAAATCAATTTGTTTTCTCGGGTCAAGCTTTTATTGAGCCCAGGTTGATATTTAGTCTGTACAGTTCAAACATTAAATGGACTTTAATTAGATACATAACTTAGAATATTGTTCAATTTTCAGCTCCTGCTTTATTGTACCCAGGGCTCCAGACTATGTTTTCACATTGTTGCATTTCCACTGCATGTGTGACAGCGCACCCTGGTCGCTGATCCATAAAAGTTGTGCCAGCAATGTTACCAGGTCTGACCTAGTAACATTTCCATACCACTTTCAACACAGCACAAGCTGGAACTGACCAGTCATTTTAACTATAGACATGCACAAGCAGCGGTACTTTGAGTTGTGTGAAGTGACTTAGATAGAGGCAGCTGAGCACAGAGAAGTCTCTTGTTACCACTTAGTTACTGCAGTGCAGAAGTCTAGACAAGTGTTTGACCAGACATTTGCTTACAAAAAAGTGAAACCAGGCATTCTAATGTTAGATGTTACCTCAGTTGAAACTGAGTGATTTGGCCATGCGTCACTGCAGGGATGGTTTTAGCGGCTAATGAGCAGTGTCTGCTGTTCAGTATACAGTGAGGGCAATAAGTTTTGGTCCCCTTCATATTTCAGGATTCAGCCACATACCAAAAAAAATTTTTAAACATGAGCAGTCTATAATTTTAATAGTAGGTTTATTTTAACTGTAAGAGACAAGATCATCAAAAACTCCTGAAAAACAGATTAAATAAGTTCTAAAATACTTTCTTTTTGATAAAGGGAAATAAGTATTTGATCCACTTTCTACCTGGCTCCCATTCTGGCTCACACAAATGCGTTATGTGGCCAAGAGGCACACATATTAGCCCATTCTGCTTAAGCAACTAATAATCTGACCTGGTTACGTGTTAATGTGTGAAAGAAACCTGTGCAAAGAATCACATTTTGCATCTTCAACTTCACCACCATGGACAAGACCAAAGAGCTTTCCAAAGACACAGATACAAGACTGTAGAATTTCACAAGACTGGAAAGGTCTACAAGACCATTGGCAAGCAATTTGGTGAGAAAGTGAAAACTGTCTGTTGGTTCAGAAATGGAGGAAAGACAAAACAACAACCAATCACCCTTTGTCTGGAGCTCCATGCAAGATCTCATCTCGTGCACTATCTCTGATCATCAGAAAGGTTAAGGATAATCCTAGAACTACACGGGAGGAAGTGGTTCATCTCAAGGCAACTGGGTCAAACAAACTATTCGTAGCACACTGCATAGTAATGATTGGAAATCCTGCAGCACCCTTAAGGTCCTTCTGCTCAAGAAGGCGCATGTACAGGCCTGTCTAAAGTTTACCAATGAGCATTTGAAAGTTAGTCAAGAGGTTTTGGAGGTTTTGTGATATGGTCAGATGAGACCAGTATTAAGTTCTTTGGCATAAAGTCGACTCGCTGTGTTTGAAGAAAGAAGAATGCTGCCAATGACCCTGAGAACACCATCCCCACTGTCAAGCACGGAGGTGGAAACATTATGCACCACATCGAGGGAACAATGAATGGGGCCATGTACCAAGAACTGTTGGGCGAGAACCTCCTTCCCTCATCCAGAGCACTTAAAATGGGTCGTGGGTGGGTCTTCCAGCAAGATAATGTCCCGAAGCACATGGCCAAGGCAACAAAGGAGTGGCTCAAGAAGAGGCACATCAAGGTCATGGAGCGGCCTAGCCAGTCTCAAGACCTTAATCTTATAGAAAGTGTACCATGGGAGCTGAAGCTTCGCATTTTTAAGCAACCTTAAGGATCCAAAGAGAATCTGCAAAGAGGAGTGGTCTTAAATACCTCCTGAGATATGTGCAAACCTGGTGACCAACTACAAGAAACATCTGACATCAGTGGTTATCGATAAGGGTTATATCATCAAGTACTAAGTCCTGTTTTGCTGGGGGACCAATTCCTATTTTTCCTTTATCAACTGGAAATTAATTTCTGTTATTT